GGGCGACAGAGTGAGACTCCGACTCAAAAAAAAAAAAAAAGAAAGAGAAGAAACTAAATTTTATATATATATATATATATTTAAAGGCCATGGTTCTCTTTCACATCAGTAAAGGTGAGGCTCTCGGGGGCTGTGTTATTCATATAAGGTTCACCATTATTTGTCAGGTGCTGTTATTTGTTTATTTATTTATTTATTTTTTTGAGTTGGAGTTTCACTCCGTCGTCCAGACTGGAGTACAGTGGCCGCTCCCGGCCACCGCAGCCTCGACCCACTGGGCTCCAGCGATCCTTCCACCTCAGCCTTCCGAGTAGCCGGAATTATAGGCGCACGCTACCACGCCTGGCTCATCTTTTATTTATTGTAGAGATGAGGTCTTGTCAAGTTGCCCAAGCAGGTCTCAAACCTGTGGACTCAGGCAATCCACTCACCTCAGCCTCCCAAAGGCGCGGGATTACAGGCTGAGCCACCGAGCCCGGCTGCTGTTATCTTTTTTTGTCAATTTTTTTTGAGGTGGAATCTCCGGCTGTCACCCACGCCGGAGTGCTGTGGCATGCTCCCGGCCACCGCAGCCTCAACCTGCTGGGCTCCAGCGATCCTTCCGCCTCAGCCTTCCAAGTAGCCGGAACTACCGGCGTGTGCTACCATGCCCGGCTTACTTTTGATTTATTGTAGAGAAGAGGTCTCGCCACATTGTCCGGGCAGGTCTCGAATCCGTGGGCTCAGGCAATCCACTTGCCTCAGCCTCCCAAAGTGCGGGGATTAGAGGCCAAGCCACCGAACCTGGCCTGTCATTAATTTTTAAGTGAATTTTTCTTTTAATGATTTAAAAGTAAGACTTATAATATGGGGTAAAACTTAAGATATATAAAGTATATATGAGGGGGGACCCAAAAATGAAAATTATCTTTTGGAAGGCGGGCCCCTGGTCGTACAGGCTCCCCCTGCTGGCTGAGTGTTGTAGGAATCCATCAGCATCAGTGTACCAGCTAGTGTTGTGAGAGGCTGCATTCAGCTTCAGTGAAATGTTTTTTGGAGATTCTCTCAATGTGTTTACCCGTTTCATGATGGGTGATTTACAAGCGCATCTGCCCACACCCTGCTGAATGTTCAGCAATTCTTGACCAAAACCAGCATGACTCCCATGCCCCACTCTCCCTGTTCACCTGATTGTTCCCTGAGTGACTTTATTTTGTTCCCCTGATGAAAAAAGTCCTCAAAGGGAAATGTTTTGCTGATGTGGAAGAGGTGAAACAAAAAACAGAAGCACTAAATGGTATCAAGATTGATGAGTTCAGCCGGGCTCGGTGGCTCAGCCTGTAATCCCGCACTTTGGGAGGCTGAGGTGAGTGGATTGCCTGAGCCCGCGGGTTCGAGACTCGCCTGGGCAGCGAGACCTCATCTCTACAATAAATCAAAAAATCAGCCGGGCGTAGTAGCGCATGCCTGTAATTCCGGCTGCTCGGAAGGCTGAGGCGGAAGGATCGCCAGAGCCCAGCAGGTCGAGGCTGTGGTGGCTGGGAGTGGCCGCTGCACTCCAGTCCGGGTGACAGAGACTCCAACTCAAAATAAATAAATAAATAAAATAAATAAAAAATGCGAGTAGAACAGGATGTTCCCGGATTCACTGATGTGATTGTCATTTGTCCCTTTGGAGGAAGCACTTGAGCAAAATGAAAAGGTTAGCAGCCAGATTCAGGGAGGGAAGCAAAGAGATTTTCTGTTTAAGGAAAAAACTGATGTTTGACAGGATCTTTTAGTTCGACAAGAGGAGGAATGCTCTGGACTTTTCCTCTGAGAGTTTCATAAGCAAGTTGGGGTAGTAGGAGCAGAGCACTTCAGACTAGCTGGGTGACTTTGACCTGCTTGGTTCACCCTAGACCTGTTTCCTCATCTGTATAATAGGGATATGATAGCAGCTACCTCACAGGACATCAAGAGCAATGAACCAATGAAGGTGGTGAAGCAGAGAGAATGGTGCTGCGTACATATTAGGTGTTCCATAAGTGTTTTCTATTAAATTGTTAGGAGCAGTGTAAATTAAAGCCCCTTGAATTGAGTCAGGATATTTGCCCCATGTAGCTGGGCGTCTACCCTAGCACAGTGCCCAGTTTATTTAGGTGCTCGGTAGATGTTCCCTTGGTTTCTTTCTTTTGTTTTGCTCTTATCTACAGGGTGTTACTTGGAAGCTCTTGTTTCAGCTTCATGTGTCTGTTCTTTATTTCCAGACAAAGGAAACCAACAATAAGAAGAAAGAATTTGAAGAAACTGCAAAGAAAGTGCGCCATGCCATTGAGCAGCTGGCTGCCTTGGACTGAGGCTTTGCTGTGGGGCCCTGCTTCCAGGGTGAATGCGGCGTTCCCAAGGCATTACCCTAGCAGCACCAGCCTCTCTGCGAGACCCTCAGTGCCTTGGGGAAGGAGAACATCAACGTTGCCAATTAGCTATTCCAACTCTCCTACTCTCCTTTGTTTTTCTTGAAAATGGCACCAGAGGCTGCTTCTGCCTGGGCCACGGGTGCTGCTGACAACAGTGACTGCTTCTTTCCCTTTTTTCTTTGGTGTTTTTTGCTTTATTGATTCCTAGACTTGCCAGGTGAGAAGTGGGTGAGGAAGAAGGCAGTGTCCCCTTTGCTAGCACTGATGGCTTTGTCCACAGGAGTAGAGCCTTCCGCAGTGGCTGTGTCCAGGCTTCACGGTGCTTGCTGTCTGTCACTGGGTGTGGACTTGGTGGGTGTTTGTGGAAGCTGAGCTGCAGGTGCCTCATCTGTCACACCTGTGCTGCTTTTTTGTGTGTGGAAGATAAATGACTTTTGTGTGATGGGGAGGAGAGTCGAGACAGTCTCCAGTTCCTCCTGGTATCTTACAACATGGTTTCTCATTTTGTTTGAATTATTATTTCACAGAACAGCACAAACTGCAATTAAAAGCAAGCACAAAGCCATTCTAAATCACTGGGGAAGCCAGGGGGGAACTTCTCCAGGTGGGTCTGAGACGAAGGAAGGCGGCAGGAACGATCTAGCAGAAACTCATTTGAGAAATTGCTGTACGATTAGACAGGCCTCGTGAGCTGTGGGGCACATGCTGGTTGCTCCCTCCCTGAGAAGAGGCAGTGGCCTGAATCCTTTTTAGATGACTTGGCTCAGGGCTGTGGGGACTGGCTGGGCTGCTGAAGGCCGTGTCTGTCAGCCTGTCCCTTGCATCTGTCATGCTTCCCACATCCAGGGCGGGGGCATGCTCCGCACCGGCTCTCTCCTCCTGAGGGCCAGCTCCCGCAGAGCCAATGCCTGGTGTTAAGATGATAGATTTGATTTCACCCTCCGTCATGAAGTAAAGTCATGGGGTGAATTGTTGCAGCTCTGTCAGAAACCTCTGGAGGTCATCTTGGTCGTTTCTGAGAAATAAAAAGCCTGTCATTTCAAACACTGCTGCAGACCCCACTGGGTTTTTTAAATGTTGTCAGTTTTTCATGATGGTCCCTTCCTAGCCTGCCAACCAAGGCATCCTCCAGCAGTTGCAGCAAGGCTGAGTGTCCTGGCAGAGAAGCAGCCAGCTCTGGGCTCCTCGCCAGAGCCACCCAGCCAGACCCACTGGTGTCATGTGGATCCTTCCGGGTACAAATGACCGTGAAAATGCACCTCAGACTCATTTGTTTCTGCCACATCTCAGCGCGTGAGATGGATATTTCCCTCTAAACTTGGAGAATATTATAGTGGGTTTTGTTAGGAGAAAAATGCATTTCAGCCTCTATACTCATCCAAGCTGCCTATTTTTGCTATTTGTGTCAGTCTGTAAGTGGATGCTTGATTTTAATAACTGGTGCTTACAAACTGGCTTTGTAGAAAAACTGAAAAGAGCTGGGCTCGGTGGCTCAGCCTGTAATCCTGCGCTTTGGGAGGCTGAGGTGAGT